TGAGCTCTATCACTGGAGAGCTCAATTATTGCATCGTAAAATTACTTGGTTTCAATGAGAAAATGAAAGAAAGAAAGAAAGAAAGACAAAGAAAAGGTTACAAGCAACAGAAAATTACTGAGAATACAATGTAAGCAAAAACGATGAAGTTTTAGAGAAAATGGAAACAAAAAGGACACTTATACTTAACATCGGGAAGAGAGAATACCATGGATGGAACATGAAGAAGAGACTTGAAGCAACACAAATGTGGTTCTACAGAAGCATGCTGAGAATAGCATGGATCGAACATGTGAGCAACGACAAAGTTTTAGAGAAAATGGAAACAAAAAGGACACTTATACTTAACATCGGGAAGAGAGAATATCATGGATCGAACATGAAGAAGAGACTTGAAGCAACAGAAATGTGGTTCTACTGAAGCATGCTGAGAATACCATGGGCCGAACATGTGAGCAACGAGGAAGTTTTAGAGAATATGGAAACAAAAAGGACACTTATACTTAACATCGGAAGAGAGAATACCATGGATGGAACATGAAGAAGAGACTTGAAGAAACAGAAATGTGGTTCTACTGAAGCATGCTGAGAATACCATGGGCCGAACATGTGAGCAACGAGGAAGTTTTAGAGAATATGGAAACAAAAAGGACACTTATACTTAACATCGGGAAGAGAGAATACCATGGATGGAACATGAAGAAGAGACTTGAAGAAACAGAAATGTGGTTCTACTGAAGCATGCTGAGAATACCATGGGCCGAACATGTGAGCAACGAGGAAGTTTTTTAGAGAATATGGAAACAAAAAGGACACTTATACTTAACATCGGGAAGAGAGAATACCATGGATGGAACATGAAGAAGAGACTTGAAGAAACAGAAATGTGGTTCTACTGAAGCATGCTGAGAATACCATGGGCCGAACATGTGAGCAACGAGGAAGTTTTAGAGAAAATGGAAACAAAAAGGACACTTATACTTAACATCGGGAAGAGAGAATACCATGGATGGAACATGAAGAAGAGACTTGAAGCAACAGAAATGTGGTTCTACAGAAGCATGCTGAGAATACCATGGACCGAACATGTGAGCAACGACGAAGTTTTAGAGAAAATGGAAACAAAAAGGACACTTATACTTAACATCGGGAAGAGAGAATACCATGGATGGAACATGAAGAAGAGACTTGAAGCAACAGAAATGTGGTTCTACAGAAGCATGCTGAGAATACCATGAATCGAACATGTGAGCAACGACAAAGTTTTAGAGAAAATGGAAAGAAAAAGTACACTTATACTTAGCATCGGGAAGAGAGAATACCATGAGTCGAATATGAAGAAAAGACTTGAAGCAACATAAATGTGGTTCTACAGAAGCATGATGAGAATACCATGGAACCAATACGTGAGCGATGATGAAGTTTTAGAGAAAATGTTAACAAAAAGGACACTTATACTTAACATCGGGAAGAGAGAATACCATGGATGGAACATGAAGAAGAGACTTGAAGCAACAGAAATGTGGTTCTGCAGAAGCATGCTGAGAATACCATGAATCGAACATGTGAGCAATGACAAAGTTTTAGATAAAATGGAAACAAAAAGGACACTTATACTTAACATCGGGAAGAGAGAATATCATGGATCGAACATGAAGAAGAGACTTGAAGCAACAGAAATGTGGTTCTACAGAAGCATGCTGAGAATACCATGGACCGAACATGTGAACAATGATGAAGTTTTAGAGAAAATGGAAAGAAAAAGGACACTTATACTCAACATCGGGAAGAGACAGCTGAAATTTAGGGTTACATGATATGCTCTCTGCTACGTCTGCACAGTTTTAATTTTTGCCCTTGAAGTTGGAGGTTATCGCTTTTAGGCTGTGATTCATGCGTCTTATTCCTTATCAGGGCTTCTTATTGGCACCAAAATTATGCTTTTATTTTGGGAGGTGCCGACAAGTGAAAGAAAATGCTTGGTCAAAGAAATTCGATCTTAAGACAAATATCACGACTACAATTATTACAAACTATGTTATTATAAGACCGGAAGTAACAAATTTAAGAATTTCCGACAATTAAATATTTTATTTGTTCGATTTTTTTGAAAATGAGAATCTAAAATGACTTTTTAATTTTGGGTGAACTTTGACCTCAAAAACTATTTTTTTTTAAGATTTATATGAAATTCCTTTTGTAAAGCGGAAAAAATTACGCCCTCCGACATGTATTTATTCCCACAGATTTTTATTTTAAGATGCAATTATTGAGCTCCCCAGTGATAGAGGTCAATTCTTTAGTGATCGATTGTCTATTCATAATACCAGCATAGAACGCGGCATCATCGTTTGCTTTGTTTTTATTATTTTTACCTGAATTTCATATGAATTTTTCAATATCTTTTGCGCCACAAATGTTCCATAAATATTTACTATAAATCGTCCATACACACCTTGCAAAAAAAGTGGTAAATCCCGCAGCAGTCTCAAATATCCTACGGTGTGACAACAGTAACATCCACTAAGAACGGTGAAGATTTTTTTAAGAAGCTAGACGAAAATTTACTGTGTTTGATTTAGAAATCAGTGTACTTTCTATACATGATCGCTTTAGTAAGTAATATACTAGCCGAAAGCTCGTCTTACAAACATTTTTATTAATAAATTTGTTTATGAATTTGTACAATGAAACAGACGTTGCATATTTCCTCTTGTCTTTCATTCAATTTCTCACTAAAACAAAATAGTTTTCCCCTTTTTTCACGCAGTCAAAACGGAATTAATTATGAGGAATTGGCAGCAGAGGTTACACATTATTATCTTTATTTATTTATTTATTTATTTGTTTGTTTGTTTATTTATTTCATCCTTTCCTTTATTTTCTCACTGAAACCAAGTAGTGTTTTTCCTTTTCTTTCCACGCAATCAAAACGGAATAGTCCTATAAATAATAAGGAGTTGGCACGAGAGGTTACACACTATTTTTTTTTTTTTTCTTTCTTTCTTTCTTTCTTTCTTTCTTTCTTTCTTTCTTTCTTTCTTCATTTCTTTCTTTTATTTTCTCACTGAAACCAAGTAGTGTTTTTCCCATTCTTTCCACGCGATCGAAACGGAATAGTCCATTAATTATGAGGACTTGGTAGCAGAAGTTACACACTATCTATCTATCTATCTATCTATCTATCTATCTATCTCAGTCTGTTCATATCTATCTATCTATCTATCTCAGTCTGTTCATATCTATCTCAGTCTGTTCATATCTATCTATCTATCTATCTATATCTATCTATCTATCTATCTATCTCAGTCTGTTCATATCTATCTATCTATCTATCTATCTATCTATCTATCTATCTATCTCAGTCTGTTCATATCTATCTCAGTCTGTTCATATCTATCTATCTATCTATCTATCTATCTCAGTCTGTTTCATATCTATCTATCTATCTATCTATCTCAGTCTGTTCATATTCTATCTATCTATCTATCTATCTATCTATCTATCTCAGTCTGTTCCTATATCTATCTATCTATTCATTATCTATCTATCTCAGTCTGTTCATATCTATCTCAGTCTGTTCATATCTATCTATCTATCTATCTATCTTTCTTTTTTTCTTTAATTTTCTCATTGAAACCAACTAATTTTACGATATAATAATTAAGCTCTCTAGCGATAGAGCTCAATTCTTTAGTTCTCGATTGTCTATTCATAATACGAGCATTAAATGCGGTATCTTAGTTTGTTTTGTTCTTAATTGAATATTATACACCAATAAAAATGATACTTGTCCATAGTATTTAATTAAAGAAGTGTGTAGCAACAGTTAACTCATTTGTGAAAATACCTAACAGAAAAATATTTTAAATGCATATGTTTAATGGATTGATTAATAAGAAATGTATTTAATATTTGTTTTTTTTTTTTTTTTTTTTTCAGAATCTTGTCTCTTTTACATCTTCAAATGATCAATAATTGGATAAGTCATCCTGAATAGATCAACACCGATGAAGGCAACCGCCTGAAAAATACATGAGACAATGAGATGCCACTAAAACATGCATGGGCAAACCTTTTCCGACTAGTGAGCCGTATCTGATATTGCTCATCATACGATGGGATCCATAACGAAAAGATTCAAGGTAATTTTTCGTTGATGTTGTCTCAGTCATTTTTATTACAGAAGATCATATGCGTAAACATCCGCCATAAAAATATTGAAAGGTTGATTGATTTTAGAGAAAGATTTCTCAATAATCAAAAAAAAATCAAGCCCCGATATAATTTTATCATCGATTTCAGTGGTTGAAACACACACTGTTGCATGTGATTTGTTTCTTATTTATTCATTTGAAAATATAAAAAGATAAAAATATATTTCTTCTCTCGAGAAAAAACTATGTTTTTCTCAAGAAAAATATATTTCTTCTTCAGACAAAAAAAAAAAATTATTATGAACATCCTGTTTCTAAAGTAAATGATATTTACACGCACGGTCTTCCTTTGTGAAAATCACCAATCGCTTAAAATGATGAAAAATTTGACTTCAACGAAAAGTGACAAAATTCAAGGAATGTTGTGCTAAATTATTGTGGTTATGAGTAATAAAATGTGAATGAACATGTAGGGATGAAAGGAAATAAACAACATTTTAATAAACCTTATTTTCAAAATGGAATTGGGCGTCCTATTCAGAAAGCGAAACGGGCCACATGTGACTCATGGGCCGCACTTTGCCTATGAATACACGAAAACATTCGTCGAAACCAGTGCCAAGGAATCTTTAGTTGTAAGGGAAGTAACTCTGTAAATTTTTTTCCTGAGTTGCCTCCCTTAGTTTTGACTGTCGCTGGAATGAGTTAGACATTTTTCTTTTTCTTTAATACACTACTATTAGCGATTATCATTTTTGACGTGCATTTTTGCTTTATTCTCTATGACAAATATCCATCAGTAGATATGGTAATCGTTTGAATTATTTTGCACACTAGTCAAATGGAGACTCTCTATTATAATTCTGCTCATCCTTCCTTCGATAGTTCGTTCCTTAGTTCGCATGACCGTTACGCCCTGCCAGTACTTCATAAATAGTGAACTATTCCGTTTTGACCGCGTGAAAATATGGGACTGTCATATCAGAGAGACTACTTGGATTCAGTGAAAGAAAGAAAGAAAGAAAGAAAGAAAGAAAGAAAGAAAGAAAGAAAGAAAGAAAGAAAGTTTATAGACCTCTAGAGCGCACCCTACCGAGCGTTTGGGGAAAGAGCCAAGTGCCACAAAACTAAGAAAACCAAAAACAAAAGCGTCAAGAAACCGAATGATATTGGTTGAGCTGTGCGTCTAGACTAGCTATGGGCAACTTGCCTCCGGGCTAAGTAACAGTCTAACTCTCTGCCTTCGGACGGAAAGGAACCCGAACGAGGCTCTGCCGAAGGGCAGAGTCTCGTTCGGGGTGGTTGACTGCCCCTGAACCCGTTTAGCGGGTTAAAAGAATGAATATTTTTGGCCGAGCCTACGGGCTCGGAGGTTCCACGTTAAACCCGGCCTTGTGCCACATGTAGCCCTCGTGGGGTGGGTAGCTAAATATCACTAGCTATGGGCAAACTGGAGCCCCCAGGAGTCACATGCGGTCCGTTTTGCCTTCTGAATGGCATGCCTAATTTAAGGATGAAAATAACGTTTATTAAAATTTTGCGTTTTGTTTCATTCTCACTTGTTCACTCACATTCTCTCTCACGCAAAGTGGTTGAGAGGAGCTGATGTCAAAGGGAAATAACTATTAAATGCCCGAGTAACGGTCCTTACTAATGTCTATTGCGTTGTAGACAGAGTTCGACTACACCACGCAAATAATAATGATTAAGTCCGATTTTTCATTAATTTTTAATCTTTCGTTGAAAGTAACGTTTTCAGTAAACCCTCGTCGCAGTATTTTAAACCATTGTCAATTTTCAATAAGGAAGATCATACGTGTAAAAATATTTAGTTTTAGAAATGAGAATTGTTCAAAATACTTTTTTTCTCTGAAAAATAAATATATTTTATATTTCAAAAAGTATTTTCAAATAATAAATTAATAAATTTCTCTGAAAAATAAACATATTTTATATTTCAAAAAGTATTTTCAAATAAATAAATTAACAAATTTCTCTGAAAAATAAATATATTTTATATTTCAAAAAGTATTTTCAAATAAATAAATTAATAAATTTCTCTGAAAAATAAATATATTTTATATTTCAAAAAGTATTTTCAAATAAATCTTACTTATTATAAAACGCAGATATGTGTGTGTGTGTGTGTGTGTGTGTGTGTGTGTGTGTGTGTGTGTGTGTGTGTGTGTTCGTTTATATATGGGATCGGATTTCCTGCATTTTTCAACCGATTTCAACAAAACTTCACTTTTTTTTTGGCAGGTAGTGTTTCTTATTGTCTTGCACACTTTTTTTCTTTATTTTTACATTCAGAATGCTTTTAAAATTCCGTTTACAATATAATTGTTTATAATAAAATTCTAATCAATCGGTAGACTCATAACGATTGAAAACAATGTTTTTGTTTGAGTTTGGGTTTGACCAATTCGTAAAAAATAAAAAAGTAAAAATAATTAAGACATGCGTGCCCGTCAACCTTAAACAATAATCATTGTCAATTTTATTTTTCAGTCTTTATGATGGTCGATACATGATCTATCTCTTACTGTTACATCCCCGGGCAACGCCGGGCTCTACTGCTAGTAAATTAATAAATTTCTCTGAAAAATAAATATATTTTATATTTCAAAAAGTATTTTCAAATAAATGAATTAGAAACAAATCACACACAACAGCCTGTGTTAATCTCAGTGTAATCAGTGATAATATGGTGCTATTATAGTATGATATCTATCATCCATTTTCTGAGCCATTTGCGACCTACCGTAAAAAGGTGGAAAATGTTCAGGAAAAACGATGACCAGTTTACTGATTATTTTAAATGACATCAAATTAATTTACAAACATTAAAATCCCTTTTTACTGACTTTCTTACTTTTTGTATAAAAAATTATAAATGATTTTTACAGATCACGACATCTATCAGAGAGAAAGCATTTAAATTTTTATTATTGCATTATTCCAAAATTTTAACACATCAGCAGATAGCTATTAATGTCAACAACTACGCACAAATTGTTATTAATTTTAAAAAATTAGTAATTAATGCATAATACTATCCATAATTACATATACAAGAATGTTGTTTTTGATAAATGTTAAAAAAAATAACCATAAATGCGTAAAAAATGCGTATATTATCGAAAATTCCTTTTTCCACGATATAGCTATTTGTGCTATGTTTTAATGCTTATTACCTAAACAATAATAATACTGAATAAATTTGTTTTAAATATTAAAGGATATTTAATCACATCTCCCTAATGGCTGTCACGATCTGTTAATACATAACTAGTTCACTGTTCATTGTCTTTAATCCTAACCATAACTCATGTTGGGCTGTTGAAAAGCTACTGGGGAAATGATAATCTGAAAGCGGTAAATCAGGAGACTAGAGTGAACGCAGCTGAACTTTGCAGCGAAGCTCTTGAATCGCATTTTTGGTCATATTAGCGACAACGAGGCGAGCGTTATCCAGTTGAAGAAGCAGGTGTTCAAGATTTTCATTTTTTTCTACTTGTCACTCTATCGTCTAATGTCTGAAAAGAGGTCAAAATTCAATCAAATTTCAAAAGACAGTAAAACACTGGGGGGGGGGACACTTTACTTGTTAATGCAAATAACACTGGAAAAAAACGAACGAATTTATCTTGTCATCAAAGCAGCAGAAATTAGCCTAGTTTTCACGGAGATAAAAATGTTAACCATGTTCACCATAGTCTATGAATATAGAATACAGCGCAGTACGTAATCTGTTCAAAGAAACAACGTTAAAGATTAATACTCATGAGTCAGACACTCTACTGAATCTGACTATATCGCCAATACCACCAGCAGTTGTTCCGTAATTTTTCGGTCTTCGATATCAAAGGCTGGAAATGCATATTCGGGAAAAAAAAACATGGCCGCCTTTATACACGTCGCATTGAATATTTTGAGCCTTCTGATTGGTTAACCCTTCTATCGGTGAACTATAAAATGAGTCAGCTCATTTTGGCTGTCTCACTAGTACACCAGGGTACACAAAAATTCCAGCAAAAAACATACTTGACAGGAAATAAAACGCACAGAAATAAGAGGAAGCATAATAAACTGTATATTAATTTCATACATTTTTTTTTTATTCTTTTATGTGTACTGGTGTGTGTATTTTTTGGTTGTAAATGTTTCATGGTTCATGTAATGAGAGAAAGACGTTACTTCGTATTATTACACGCCGTGTCACGGAAAGAGGTTTGAGAAGTGTTGACTATAAGATGGTTCGTGGCGAAGAGGTTGAATTTAACGTCTTTTGGCGGGATGTCCATATTTCCGACAGAAACAGTTTTTGTTGCATGCTGGGATAATTTTTATTATTTTTAATTTTTATTTAATTTATTTTATACAACGTTTTTATGTTATTGTTTTATTTTATATATAATTTTCATCATTATTATTATTTTATTTTTATTTATTTATAATAACCATA